GTAGTACTCTAAGAACTTCAGATGTTTGTTTATAATTTGTGAGATTTTCCAAACTCAAGCAGGTTATTTGGGTTGCTCTTCTGAACTTTGAATCAATTTTTGTATATCTCTTACTCTCAAACAGCACTTCAATAAGAAATTCATGGTCCACCGTGTCTAAGGTGGGTCAGCGTGAACGGCAGTTTGAAAGGTGAATGCTGGGTTGCCAAATTGTGGATGTTATCTAGTAGTATAAGTCATTGAACAATTTATACCAAATCATTCAATTATCTTTCCTAAAGCCGAACGGAGCAATTGTAAAAAACGAACAAGTCTTAAAAGTCTTTGTCGACTTTATATAAGCCCAAAAAAGCGAGAGTCTTACTTTTTGTAGTGCGATCTCAATCTCATCTACTTCGAACTGGATTCTTTATCAAATATCAGTATTTATTCAGAATTAATTAGGTTTTATAAAGTCGATCTCAGCATCAAAATATGATACATATTTTGTCCATTCAGTGAAAGGTTCCTACGAAGGAAACTAGAACACAAATAAGTTTCACTTTCAATTTCCTATTGAACCACCAATAGGTGGTTCCACTTATGTCTCGCTTGAGTTTTCGCAGTTATTTTCATCAAGTACTTTTCTTGATTATTCACAATTTGTCTTCAATCGAGAACCGCCTGCCCGAAACTGACGATGCCCAATAGGCTGAAAGAGCTGTCTACCGGTGGCTCTTAAATTGAAATCAATATGGGAGTGATCAGAATAGTATTTATCTATTTATCTTATGATCTTCATCGAATTATTATCCAGCAGCTTGACTGCATTAACCGCATTAACTATTCTGATCATTCCCATATTGATTTCAATTTAAAAGCCACCAGTAGACAGCTGTTTTAGACTTCTCTCCTCGATTACATTTCATACTTATCACACTCATTTCACTTGTTCACCACTGCATGTTCGAACTCCGAACTAATACGTATTCTGAACTAATAGATAGGCCCGTCTGATAGGCCCGTAAATATATCGAATGTTTTAGTGGATCTTTTGAAATGCTTTAAGTTCATTAGAGAATCCTGACACGATGCTATGATAACGTGTGGCGTCACATTGCAGAAGTCGGATCACCACCTTCAGAAGCGGTATATTAGGAAAGATGCAACAATATTTCTAGGTTAGGTATAAAGATCTTTTTGGTAGCAAGCAGTCCATGAATTGTGAAAATAGTCAGAATGAACTGCCAAAGGAAAAGATAATGATTTAAAGGTGAGTCTTGATTAAGTAACACATTTATAATAGGTTGTAGTCAATAAGAAATGAGTCGGAAAATTGTTGAATATTTTTCTGAACTGGTTTAATACAGAAAGATTACTCAATGTTACAATTACTCTTTGTTATTAACAGAAATGAACAGTAATTGGGAAGAGTTAAATAAGTAATCAGTAAAATCTTAATAAACTGAAAGATTATTAGTTATACAGAAAATTATTCATTTGAATGAAAAAAAAAACAAAGTTTGAGAAGTTATTGCCATTCGATAACACCGACAACCATGTATACGGTATCTCCCTCTCCCTCGTCTATCAGTTCGTGGTAGAGGGTGTGTTGAATAAATTGAATTATTTTATTACCTTCTGCAAAAACTCGACTTTTGCCTTTTTATTGTTTCGCCAGGAGAGAACGTCTGAGTGTACGAGGTCGCCCAAAAATAGTATATACTCGTACTATACAGTTCAAGAGAAACTTATTAGGCGGTTTTCCTTTTCTTCCGGTCGTTTTTGAACATCTGAGCATCTGGTTAGCAAAAATAGTTATAGTTATAATAGTTATAGTGTTTTCATTAGATTCATTTCATGCAATAAGCTCCAGTCCTTCATGTATTGTCTTTCGACAAATATTTATATATTTTTTGAATTCATGTTTCTCCCAGAGTTCATAATCAAAGTTATCTTTTATTTTTATACGTTAATGGAAAAGCTATTTCCCCAAAGTAAAGCGAATAATTTTTTCAAATTTTCGTTTTTTCTGTTCACTAAATCAATTTATAATACATATATCGTTATGTACCGATAAGTGTTTAAAATTTGCAATAACACAATGATTATTTTAACAAAACGTGTCTAAGTTTTACACGTCTCGTGGTAATTACAGTTTTGCGTTGATTACCATTATTATTTTTGTGTTAGCTAAACAAAATTGTTATTACCGATTCATTTTAATGAATATGAATGCTTAATGAATATTGAAAGTTTCTACATGTTGAATCATATGACAAATTATACATTATCAATAATGTAATGATTGATATTGATGCGAAATGCCTATATAATATTCATAACATTCGGTATTTTTCCAATGCTCTGTTCTTTTCGTTAAAATAAGGTATGAAAAAAATAAAATTGTCAAGAAATATTTGCGAGAATAGTTTCGAACGTTGCATATTTCAACATCAGACAGAGTTAATGAGAATATTTCTTATTGGCGCAAATTGAAATTTGTCAATTTCCAAATATATGTAAAAATGTATTACCACAACATTTTGTTGTGAAGTTTCTGGAGCAATAGTAGCATTTTGTTAGTGTTAATTTTGGGTCAGGACAGCAAATTTATTTTCATTTCCAAATTGTATGTCACCATAGAGTAAAGGAGGGACACCATTATAGAAATTTCTCAGTTTTCCATTCCAAAGGATGACTGTCCACTGACTGTTTCAGAAAAAAGAAAATATTGATGTTGTACATACCATGATTGAACATTTAGAATAGGTTGATCCTGAGCATTGCCATGAGTCAGATACAAATGATATCATAAACATTTCTGTATGATATATGATGGAATTGGCCGATACTTGATGAAAATCCATAACTAACGTATTCAAAAACACTTTATTGCGAGATTTTCACTAACAGTTTAAAAAAGCGTAACACGTGTTAGTTAACTGATTATTATGGATTCCATACTGTATGTTATCCATGAAAATTTCGGCCAGCAAAGGACTCAAAGGATTCCCCATTATTAGTCCTTCACAGTTTCTTTTACTGGTACAGATACGTAGATGGCATCTTAGTCTGTTTTACTGGTACAAATAGACAATTAGGCAAGTTCGTTGAATATATCAATTCCATCCACCCCTCAATAAAATCCACCACTAAAAGGTAGGTAAATTATTCAATAAATTACCGTGACTTAACCATTACGAAAAAAAACCAATAAACATGAATTTGCAATTTTTTCAAAAAGACTACAAAAGCAAGCCATGGACCAGGTCTACCCAAATTCCAAAGCGATAACGTCAGTTATAGGACATTGTCATACTTGGGTGTACCCAACAATATTATTGCCCGGTTTTTAAATAAATAATGTGTAAACGTAGCTTACAGAACGAATAATAGTCTAAGTAAATTTATTAAAAATAATAAAGACAAAACTTCGGTGTCTGATAGATCAGGAGTATATAAGCTGACTTGTGACTCTTGCCCAATACTGTATATTGGTGAAACAGGGAGAACATTTCTTCAAAGAATAAAAAAACATAGAAGTGGTTTTGTAAATGAAAAGATCAATTCCACATTTGCAAACTACCTTTTAGCAGAAAGACATGAGTTCAGTCATGAATACAACGTATTACATTTAGAAGAGAAAAGTTTGAAACTCAATCTTCTTGAATGTTTCAAAATCAATAGAATCAAGAATTCGAGTAATTAACCGAATGATCAATTAGAATTGAATGATTATTCCTTAAAATATTTTTTAATTCTACAATATTGATTAATTACAACTCAAGTAAAACTCAGGTACTTAAAATGTAAGTACCAACTTGAAATTGTAAAATTAGGTATATTAAACATTGAATATATAGAATATATAGAATAGAATATAGAATATATAGTTAGTAAAGACTCGCCCGAAGAAGCCATTGTATGGCGAAACACGTGTTGTGTTTTTGTAAAACTGTTTGGTGAAAATCTCACAATAAAGTGTTTTTGAGTACGTTATTTCTGTATGAAAAAATTGTGCACATCGGTTGCATACAATAAATTGATGGGATCCAGAAAAAAAAAAATGCCAGAAATGTCAAAACTTCATCGCTCATTGTTAACATAGGTTTTCAATAATCAGGTAATTGAAAACCTGAAATAAATTAGTCCTCTCCTTATTCGTGGCCTATTAACTCATCATGAAGAGACGTATTTTTGTCCACAACTGAGTTTTGCGGCTTCCTAAATACACATTCTTGAAATATATATTAACTAGTGAATTAAATCCTTTCAGAAATTTCGGAGCTTATTGCACCGGCTAAGGCCGCAAACAATTTAGAAATTTCAACTTGAAATTCAAACGACTTATCAATAAATGCATCAGCTTTGCCTTCATGAACAACAAACAAATGTATGTCAAGAGACACTTTCTGAACAGAAAAATAAAAACCATGCTCAGTGAATCTCTTTTACTGTCCAGGTTCAACTTTGGAAGCGGAGCCTATGCACCATGCATTGCATATGAAAAGAAATACAGGTTGTTCCAAGTAATGTTCTGTGGCATCAGACGTGGTCTATACAAATCACACAAGCTCGATGATACCAACTGGTATACATAGGTATATACCTACATAGTACATACAAATGTACTGCCTGTCTTTATCATGATAACATCACCGATAAGTTTTCAAATATATGTCTTCGGAACCTTAAAGTTTGCAACCTCTGTTGAACATTTTAACACGTTTTTAAGCTATTTATTAACGTATTGCATTCATTTACTAACTTGTTATTTTGTAATCAGCATTGGACATTTTTTTCTGTCTGTTTCGTATTCTCTGATATTTAGTCTTTTCCATTCCAGTACATATATTACATAGACATATTATTATTGCGAAATTTTCATTTTTGAAAATTGTATAATAATTGTATATATTTTGAAGGAGGAATTTCAGTTCTCATTGAATTTCAGTTCTTTCCACTGAACTTTCTGTCTATGACAGATAGACTCTCAGGTATTATTGAAACTTCTTGAATAAAGTTGAAAAATGTATTCGTAATCTTTATTCTAAGTCACATTTCATGTATACATTATATCAGACGAGTATTTGGGTGAACTCTGCCTTCAAAATATAAATAACTTAAGCATAAAACGTTTCGTTATTATAAAATAAAAATGAAAAATTACAGTCTTATATCTTACAGAAGGATAGAAAGAGCAAATATTTGTGTAATTCATATCTACAGCCAAGAAGTATGATAACAAGACAGATTGTTTTAAATTGAAATGGACGAAATAACTATAATGAACACTAATTAACCCAGCATGTCTAATCACAGCTTGCTCGATTTAGATAGCAAATTACAGCAGCGAAGGCAGTAAAACTCATTTCGAACTGAGATAAAAAATTGCCGATGAAGGTTCTCATCTAAATCGCTTCTCTGTTACTATCGCTTTTTATTATATTACAAATCTTTGTTCCAATAAAACAATTTCTATCTGTTACCATTTAGAAATATGTCATTCTGACCACAGTGGTCTTCCTATGCTTCCGATAAACATAATTTGATAAAATTTTTAGAAAAATTAGTCTCTATCTCCTGGTCAAGCGACTCCCTGTAGATACGAATTGGGAGTGGCTGATCCATTCCTGTGGTTGACGGCTCCGTAGCTATAACTGTAGGGTCCGACAGTTAGGCTGGACGCTTCTTTTTTCGGCCAAGCTTGTGATTTGTAGCTATTGCATGCGATTAAGCTGTTCATGCCAGCAGGACGACTTTTTTCAATGGAAATCCCGTTAGCTAGCGAGCATATGCTGAAAAAAAAAGGGATGAAATTGTGGAAATGAGGGTGTCTTATTACTGAATTTCGCCATTTCATCAATAAATTTTAAATAATTTGTAGAATTATCGGTTTTTATTCAACAAGGTCACGGTCGATGATTACTTTGTCGAATATGTTTTCAGATTGTTTTGCCTTTGTTTCGCAGGTTTTCTTCCTGGCGTTTCATCTACTACTGCGGTAGAGATGACCAGAGGCTATGAATCAATGGAAGAACTACTCAGAACACATGTGTTGTGTCATCACCTTTGATCATATTTACCGCAGTTGTAAATGAATCGTCTTCCATAAAAATAAGCAGGTAACATGAAAATTTCAAAGCCAATTATCTATAGCTTATTCAACAGTAGGTATATCAGAAATGTATCCAAACTTTTGTTTGCGGATCTTGCACAAATAATTTCTGAGTATTAATTGCAAATGCGTAAAACAAACAAATAAGAAAATTTCAATATCATGTAGATATGATAATTGTTAATGAAAAGTGTCGGACTTGTCCTTTTTGATCAAAATTGACTTTCAAACTCATCTAAAAAGTCTTTAAAATCAACCCAATTCACGCGATAACTATTGAAATGATCAATAAAACGTCAATAACTTATTCAAACCTTATATTGAAATGTAAAAACTATCGAATGAAGTTGCTTATGTGAAAATAAATAACTTTTAATTTCATCGAAAATAATTTGTAAAATAATAAACCTCCATTCATCAAGAAAATCACAAAGTTTAATACATTTTGAACGAGTTAAACTGTTATAACTGTTATATTAATGATATACGTTTGAAATAAGGAATATTGAATATCATTTTGAAAAGTAGGTTTTATGCTATATTTCAGATTAATGATTTTCTCTTTAGGTTTTCGTATAGCAAAGATCTCGTGAGTTTTTTCCGATTTTTTTTATATAGGTGAAACATGTATTCAAACAAACATGGAGAACAAGCTATTCATCAAAGGATGAAACAACCAGTGATTTGGATGGGGGAGAACTGTGAGAAAGGTCCGCAGATGTTTTAGGTGGATATATTTTGAACATCTATTCTTTACATTGCAATGAGAGATTTGAAAACTCTATCCTCTATCGCTTCAAGCAATATGGGCCTCTAAAGCTACTTGCGCGAAACGTCAGAAACAAATTCCAATAGATAGAGGACGGTCTAAAAACTCGAAACAACAGTTTCAGTTCATTATATAAGAAAATAGGCTTTCACGGCTAGAGAAGATGAAATTCGGGCTGGTAGGCTGTGGTGAAATAGAACTTGTAGTACCAAACGTTTCGTCTGCTACTGCGGAAGACTTTTTCATTGGTGTGTGCATTTACTGGATGAAGATTATATTCGTTTCACAACGACTGACTGAGACTTCAAGATATAACCTTCGTCCTTGCAGTCAACGCACATTACAAACGTTTGGTACAACAAGTTCCAGTCGACCACGACCAGCTAGCCCGAATTTTGATTTCTCAAATAATTTCAGCGAGACGGTGTTATCGAGTGTCTATGATTTAATTCAAAAAGAAAAAAGATTAGTCGTAACAGCACTCAATACAAATTATTGGCAAACTGCGGACACGTATTTCTGACTATTGGCCTCATCAGCGCGGTGTAGCCAAGTGCAGAGATGGGAAACACTTGGTTGCCAAAAAGGGAAAACAGCACAAATGAACGGAGTCACCAATAGGAGCCTACCGTACATTTGTTATTTCACTTAGGAGACCTAGGATACCCTAACATCACCACGGAGGAAGCTACAGCTACCTGGGTGACTTCCGGGTCCAGGATATAAATATTATAGAAAAGGTGTTATCGAGTGTCTATGATTTGATTAAAAAAAAAGGTCAGTCGTAATAGCACTCAATAAAAATTATTGCCAAAGTGCGGACACGTGTTTCTGACTATTGGCTGTAGCTGCCTCCGTGGTGATATCCGTAAAATCCTAGGTCTCCTAATTGAAATCACAAATGTGCGATAGGCTCCTGTTGGTGATTCCGTTTGTTTATGCTGTTTTCCGTTTTAGGCAACCAAGTGTTGCCCATTTCTGCACTTGGCTACACCGCGTTGATGAGAACAATCGCAAAAAAATTGTTACTTCGTAATTTCTACAAAAATATTGTATGATAACTTTTTTTGATATGTTATGAAATACTATTTTCATGCATCATATTATTACGATCTGCAATGAGGATCAACCAAATGACTGACTAAAACATTTCCAAATGCAAAACAGCTTGGTTAAATCCGAATTAATTAGGTCTATCGACAAGAATGAAATATTCACTATGCGAAGGTTATGTAGGAGTATATGGTGGAATATGAAACGTGGGGTGTTTTATGAACTGGAATCAACAGTCGATGTGTCACGATATTGACCAAACCAAAAAATTGTCTGAATGGATGGCGACACAAAAAGAAATTTTTCTAGTAAATTTTGTAATTCAAATCCAGATTTTGAATATTTTTTTAATGAAAATTATAACAGGTAACTTGAAGATATACAGATATGTCTTTTTCGTAAATGCTGAAATAATGTTTTTAGTAGTTTTCTATTGATTCTTTTGTGATCTCTAATATTAAGGATTTACAAATAACAGATAGTTAAGCTTTTCCAAATTATTAGGGAATTGCGCAATTGCCAATGATTCTTTTTCAGGGTCTGGACCACATTATTTTAGTTTTTAGATTGTAACGTTGTTCAATTGAGGAATCAAACTATACATATCTTATTCAACTCATGTTCAGGTTGGAATTCTAAAAAAATATAGTAAAAATAAGACCAAAAGGTCATGATCAGGTTTGACTTGGTTCTTGATCTCTCTGAAATCCTTGATTTGTGAGTGATCTCCCCAAGAATTTGTTCTATCGCTTCCTATTGTAAACTCAAATTATTGATAACTGAAATCTAAAGTTTTGTGAAAAAAATACTTGATTTTTCAACATTAATCCATAAATATTGGCAAATCTTAGAGAAAAGTCTATCGAAATAGTTTGGCAATCGTTTTGAGAAAGACAATATATTTTTTAATTAATGTATATAAGATTGTGATGGTACGATTGCGAACGGCTGGTGTTAATCTCGAAGTAGGAATGGGTCAATTGAGGCTGGGCCTGTGGCGGGAAGCGCTTACTCTGCAACCTCTGCTGCAGGAAACAAGCGATGCAATTGAACCCAGGTTTGTGTTTAATAAACACTGCAAAATACAAAATACAAAGCAGAGCATAGAGTCAGATGATACAAATGCAATACGGATTTACACAGATTAAAAACCAAAGAAGGCTCAGGGTGTGGAGTGTATTCCAGATCACTAAGNTTAAAAACCAAAGAAGGCTCAGGGTGTGGAGTGTACTCCAGATCACTAAGCCTAAGAAATAAGTGGCGAATGAGAAGAAATACCAGCGTGGTCCAAACAGAACTGGCTGGTATCTCAATCGCCACAAAAGAATTAACCAAGAACGGAATTTCTGGCAAAAACATAACAATCTGCACTGACAGCAGACAAGCCCTATTAGCCTTGAACAGACAACGTATAACCTTAGGGCTAGTACTAGAGTATCACCAAGATTCAGCCAAAGCGTCAGTAGATAATAACATTATCCTGAGATGGGTTGAAGGGCACGACAGGAGTAAAAATAATCGCATTGCCGACATTTCAGCCAAGGAAGCGGCTGGACTAAGAATTTTAGGACCCAGTGGCACCTACGGCCTGATGACTTCGACAATTGCGGAACTAGTCAAGTGTTACACCCATGCTCATTCCTTAAAGAGATGGGACGAAACCAAAGGATGTAATCTTGCCAGGATCATTTTGGGTGACCCTGGGAAGCTGGCGCCAAAGAAATATTTGGCAATGACCAGAAAAAATTTACATTTACGCCTAACAGTAGGATTTCTGACTGGTCACTGTCAACTAAGGAAACACCTCCATAGTATGGGGTTGGTGGACACACCTCTATGCAGGTAGTGTGAACAGGAAGATGAGACTGTCAGGCATGTCCTGTGCGAGTGTCCAGAGTTATCGTCAATAAGAGAATGTGTGTTCGGCGAGTCTTGGCCTACACCTGCCGATATAAAGGAGATGCCACCCAGTGACCTATCCACCTTCCTGGAAAGGACAGGATGGACGATGACCAAGGAGGACAACTCCTCGGGAGGATGTACAATGGGTCACATGTGGCCTAAGTACTGTGGGCTTGCACTCACCCTCCCTACTCTACAGATACAGAGAAGATTGTGATAACCGTGAGTTTACATCTAAACCACCTTAAAGCGATATTTGAATACACTTGAATACAATTTCGCGTTCATACCTGATAGGAATCAGAATGCAACGAAATTTTTTAAAGAGAATGTTCATTGATCAAGAATTGTAAAAAGTGTTTAGCTTACCTATTCATACTTTCAGTTACGCTATTCTGCTGCAATGATTTCACATAGCTGGAGTTGTCCAGATCCTTCTCGTCTTTGATTTCCACGTATGCGGAGCGAGTCTTGGCTAAACAGAGGAATATCGTGACTAGAACCCCTACGAAGAGGTGGAGCACCACAACGAACATCGTGGAGTTTCTGAAGCCAATGAAGTCAAAAAGGATGCCGCTTATAGACGGACCTATGAAGGCTCCAAGAGCGAAAGTACTCGTCCATAGGCCGGAAATCAAGCCGAAGGTTTCCAGGTTGTTCGGGAAGCCATGTGTACTGAAAAATTATATATGAAACGTTCATCAGGTGGTGTGTTTGAAGAAATATTTCTACTTCTAATAATGTCTAGAGAGTCAAGAAACTTGAACTTTGTGAACAGCTGATGAGATGAAAGAAATACTTACATGCTGGTCCTCAGAGCATCAGTGAACGAAGCTACCAGCTGAGCGGCCATTCCCAATCCGTGTAAAACCAGACCCAACATAGTCAACCATAACTGCCTGAAAAATCAATTTTCAAATGGAAGTTGAAAAGGTATTTGTGAGGTCAGCTGAATATTTCAAAAGGGGTGAAAAGTTGAGGTTCTGGAGCTCAAAATGAATCGGATATGCAATATTGCTGAGGCAGCCAGTTTATTAAGTTATTTTCAGGGCGATAAGAATATAAACAGGAAGTTTGGAGTCAAAAGTTCAATTGAATATCCAAGTATGGAATGAGAATTTGAATTTTTAGATTATTATTTTTCTCCATCTACATGTAATCCATCTACGTAAATAATAAGCAAATCCATGCAATATTCAGAAATACAACCATGATAAGTGGAAGAAACGTCAACGGTACTTTGCAGAAAGTACTTTGGAGAAAGAAAGAATACTGAATATTTAACAAAAGTTACTTCAAGGGCGTTTCTCTCAGGTACTTATCAGCTTCCATACAGGAAAGAACCCTATCCAAGTCCAAGGTTTTTATCCAAGGAACACTTCAGGTTATTCGATATTAGATAACGGGTACGTTGAATTACCGCTATATCAAAAAGGTGGAAGCACAGTAAAAAGTCTCGAGACCATATTGAGCACAATCAATTTTTAACTGAGATTTTCCCCGACATAAAATAACTTCTGATTGAACATCAAAACTTGTTACAGAAACCTCAGTAGTCTCACGAAAACCAAATCATCTGACGTGAATAACGACTACATCATTGAGTTTACTTGATATTGTGCTCGAGGTAGAAAATCCAATATCGAGAAATCAACTGGATCAGCAAGCACAAGACAAATTCAGAAAGTTGAGAATAGCGAAATATTCCAAACCCAGTAAAAAAAGTCGTGTGGTCTGAAACTCTGGACTATATGCCATAAATTTTGTACATTTTTGATACATATACAGTGTTTTAGCGATGCCTAAAAATAGTTCGTGATATGAAAATCTTGATAATCATAATTTCATTTATCGGGTATTGTATTTCCACTTACTAAATAATTTGCCTCTTTAGAAAACATAAGTTATACTAGTCTAAGAGCCCCTGAGCTGAAAGTTTGTTGTCGCATGCCGCCTACACATGTAAATAATTCCTTCAAGATAATATCAGAAATCAGGTCATCCATTGCTTAGTGATGTGCCACCCTCAAAGGACGTTGATAATGAGTGATTTTTTTGCTGTCATCTTTTTGGCAACACTGTTTTTGACAGATCACGTGTGAATTGTGTCTTGGGTCATTGTCAAACTTGTTCAGTTTGGTCTATAATTTAACTATGAATCGACTTACGAACGAACAAGGCTTGCACATCATTGAATTTTATTATCAAAATTATCCAATTCATGGGCAGTTTCGTCGGCCTACTAGGGAGGTATTCGGAAGCTTGTGACTGACTTTTGAACCCAGTTTACATTATTGGACATTAAACCACCAATACGCATACGTAGAGTGAGGACCGAAGAAAATATTGCGGCTGTATCCGTCAGTGTTCGTGAGGACCGTGAAATGTCGATTCGCCGCCGTTCGCAGCAATTGGGCCTCTGTTACTCCACTACGTGGAATATTTTGCGAAAGGATTTGGGTGTAAAACCCTATAAGATACAGCTGGTGCAAGAATTGAAGTACACGACCTCCCACAACGTCTAACATTTGGTGAATGGGCGCTGGTAAAGTTGGAGGAAGATCCAGATTTCTATCAAAAAATTGTGTTCAGCGACTAGGCTTATTTCTGGTTGAATGGATACGTTAACAAGCAAAATTGCCGCATCTGGAGTGAAAACCGGCCACAAGCATTGCAAGAGCTACCGATGCATCCCGAAAAAGTCACTGTTTGGTGGGGATTATGGGTCGATGGCATCATCGGGCCATACTTCTTCAAAGACGACAATGACCACAACATTACTGTGAATGGCGAGCGCTACCGTGTGATGATTGACGACTTTTTGTTGCCCAAAATGGAAGAATTGGACTTGCCTGACATGTGGTTTCAACAAGACTGTGCCACATGCCACACGGCACGCGAAACAATTGCCCAATTAAGAGCCGCCTTTGGTGAACAGTTTATCTCACATTTGGGGCCCATCAATTGGCCACCTAGATCGTGTGATTTAACGCCTTTGGAATATTTCTTGTGGGGTTATGGTAAGGCTTATGTCTACAGTGATAAACCAGCAACGACTAACGCTGTGGAAGCCAATATTGAAGCATTCATACGTGAAATACCAGTCCATATGTTAGAGAGAGTGTGCCAAAATTGTACCTTACGCATGGGACATCTAAAGCGGAGCCGCGAACAACATTTCCATGAAATCATCTTCAAACATTAAATTATATTGATCGTTCTATCGATTCCAATAAAGATTTCATCAAATTCTTTAAATGTTTTGTGTTGTTTTGAAAATCAAATCCTATACCTAAATATATGCAAGGAGATTGAAAGTGTTTCTTTTTTTGCATGGGAAATTGATGAAACTACCGATATTACATGTACATCACAACTTTCAATCGTTTTTAGGTATGTCAAAGATGGTAATGTGGTAGAACGTTTTATGGGTTTTCATGATGTTTCATATAAGCGCACAGCTGACGATTTGTTTAATTTTTTAATTTGTACGTGTGACACCTATAATTTTAGGCAAAAGTTAATTGCGCAAACCTATGATGAGGCTGCGGTCATGGCCGGCCATTCGAATGGTTCACAAACTAAAATGAAGTCCAAAGTCCATAGCTCCTCATGCACTATTTACGCATTGTCATGCCCATGCCCTAACTTCAGTATTAAGAAAAGCGTGCAACAACATAAAAATTTTCGCGCCTCCGGCGGGCTTTTCTGTGTGTATATAGTCTTTATGACTTTATGACCTCCTCTGTTCTCCAATGCACGAGCCGTCACTGCTAAACATAAATATTTCTTGAGAAAAAACGTGCATGGATGTATTTCATAATTTGGGAAAATTCCAACAATTGTTCATTGACTCATTTATGAACGTAATTAGTACTTACGTTTCTACGGGTATGAAGGGCGCAGGTCCAATCAAACAGAAGCCGGCAGCTACCAAAACGGTACCAATGATGGTAACAACTTTTGGGGAGATGCACTTGTCGCATAACCATCCAAATCCTGGAGCCACTATGGCGTAAACACCTCCATTGATGATGAACATCAGCCCCAGAATGACTGGTTGCAGATAGAACGACCTGAGATGAGCTTCAAGAGTGGCTTGAAGGAAACCGATGGACATGCTTGTGACGATTATACTGATGGCGGAAAGTAGGATTCCGGGAATTTTCAGAGCGTTTAGCATCGATGCTGGAAATTGAAAATGTATGTATTATGAATGTTTGGTGTTTTAGAATATCGAGAGAAATATTTTTAAATATTTATTCATTATTGAACTTTTTCTATTCAAGAATTTTTTTTCCAATTGATAGGTTAAAATTTTTCTTTTTTTCTCGAAACATTTGTCCTCTTTATACAGTATGACCAGTAAAGTCCACATCAAATGAGATTGAGATGAAAAATAAAAGAAATAAAGTCATGCGATTGACATTATCTGTCTTTGTTTTCATTTCACAAGTGAAATTATTAGTCAAAATATCGAAAAAAGTAGTTATACTTTTTTCTTTTCCTACAAATTGAGCTTTGTTGAAAATAAGATAGTATAATGNTTGTAATTTCAATTTTTTGTTTTTAATAAAATTGTTAGTTTCGGTTGATCTTTTATTTTTTAAGTTTTTTCAGGGATTTCAAATCAATGTATATTATATTAGACAATGGAAGTCCGAACTGATGAAATACACCACGAAACATTGTCAGCCACCTTCAAACAAAAAGACAGTACAATATACATAAATCTCAATTTCGAAAATATTTTATTTCAGGCAAGTTTTCAAAATAATAGTGGCATAATAAATGTGTTTTTATATACAAAATATAAATAGGGCTATTTTTTAACAGAAGTAATCAATTTTTGCAAACATATATGCTGCCTGAGGCAGCAAAGTTCTTCGAACCCACTAAACGTCATCCAGGGTTATCGGGTTGCACAGTTCATCGAGCTCAATAGTGGCATTTTAAAGCACACTGCGACAGAACAGCACAGAACGGGAACATGTCGGGACGGAAACATGACGTGAAGTTTTTTTTTCTATACTTTCTAATGGAATGGCGCACAGTAAGGCAGGCAACGGACAGGCACATGCCAAGAATGGAACAGGACAAACCAGGCCAATGCCGTGCTGTCTCCACTCGAAGGCCATGTCCCGTCATGTTCCTGTCCTGTGCCATCCTGTCGCAGTGTGCGTAGACTTTCAATCGCCACTAGCATTCATATCCATCAAGACAATGCTGTTTGTGGTCAGCCACATTGTCTTCATGAATCCAAAATGTGATAAACACATGGTAGTTCAGCGACTATTTACCGCACAGCGGGCGTGAAAGGCCTCTTGGCAACCCTGTATTCCATCAACGAGACAACACGGGAGGCTTGTTGTCTCGTTGACTTGAACTTAGCATCCATCTTGTATACTCGCCGTTCAATCTTCCGGACCACAAAGCCAAGATTTCGTGCTTCCGAATCGAAAAGAGACTGAAAATGGCGTTGTATTGTTATTACTAAACAATATTCCTACTGGTTATTATTTGCAGTGTCACTCAGTGAGTCTAATGGGTTGCAGTACACTTTGTTATTTATGCAACTTCGCATAAAAATCTGAAGGACTCAAATCTGTTGACAGAAGAGGCAACTTAACTGCATCATTTGGTCCTAACTAGGAACCTCAGAACCTGTGGATTGAATAATTACTTAACAAAAGATGTATTGAACTTACGTATTGCCTCCCTGTCTTCTTCGTCTTCATGTGTTGGAAGAACTATCGCGGTCAAAATGGCCGACATGAAGAGTGCAGAACCCATCACTGCGAAAGGAAGAGTGTAGCCTCCTACTTGATAGAGAGCCCCTCCTACTGTTGGCCCAACAATTAGGCCCAGTCCAAAAAATGTCTCTAGGGAAGCCTGAAAATGAAGTAATTTTCAAAGAATGATATTGAAACGGAATGTGTAGAGAGGTTGGTTGAAACCAACCTCACACAAATCAGTGTAAATATTTCAAAAGGTTATGGAAGTATTTGGCTGCCAAAAAAACTATCCTTATTGGAAAGTCTCACTGAATTGTTTCTGGTTTGGATTACTGGCCACAGTAGTCTGGAAGGTGATGGAGCTATTGACTCCATCACAAATTAGAGCAAGCGATTTCGTTTTATCAGAACCTATCATTGGTTTCGCGTTAGGTTTTGTCAAACAAACATTGAATACCTGAATAACAAGAAGAATTTTAGGCTTCCGGCCGAATCCACCATGATTGGCCCATTCTAAAGCATGTATACATGCTTCAAAGTATATCACCAACAAATTTTCAGATAGACTTTGACAACGATGATCTAAAACAGACCTACTTACAAGTCACTGTTTCCTAAATCATCGTATGAATATAATTGGACTATTGAACGATGGAATGTAACTGATAATGGGAATGAATAGAAATCCTACAACATCATTTAGTAATTCTGTTGGATAAGAATATATGACATTACTCATAATTAGGATGCATAGAAACCCTGGCATAGTCACCGATTCCCTTTTGTTTCATCAAAGCTGCCGACGTAATTAAAGACAATAACCTAACTTTGTACACATGAGTGGTGAAAGAATCGAATTTTGCGTTGCTTGCTTCCACCAGCTACCAATCATTGAAGCTGCAACCTTCTAATGTGATAGATGGTAATTTCTGGATCTAACGCTATATTTAGACGTACTGAATCCTAATTTAGCAATCATCATCTACCACATTCAGTGGTGAAGTAAAGCGTCTTCTGGAAGCTGATCAATGCATGCAATTTGATGTTTTGATTCTACGTCCATTTCATTATTTTCGTTGATTTGTTATTCAATTACCGTTTCTCCGTTGGTATTCATTGTTGGAATCATGTTTATAAATAGGGAATTTGCAAATATAATAGTGTCAATACGTTTTTCAAATAGTTATTAAGGAAAGCAACACACAATAAATTTGTCGATAATCTGTGATAAACTTCCGTTAAGATATAGTAGACATAATTGAAATTTGAGTTGATAGTGAACGGAATACATATTGAATATATTTCCAGCTTTGGGAACTGGAATGTATATGTTTTCCGAAGTTTGTGAATGTAGGTTGAAAATATTTATGAATTCAATTATTTTCGCATACCTTAATGCGTCAATAATCATTTGGAACTTCAATTTATGAACCATTATGTAAAATGCTCCTTAAAATCAATTTACTATCAATGTTAACTTGACATTGTCAAGGAGTACAACATCTGTGAATGGAATGCTGGCATTTATTGGATTTCTTCATCAAGAATGCCGTGGGTTGAGAGTGTTTGGCAAAATATTTCACATAGGGAAGAGATTCAAGTTATTGCAACATGTTTTTCTATGCATCTTTTTTAAAGGCCAAAACACTAGACTAGGAATAGGAATATCCTCAAGGCGCTCTAACAGCGATGCCTGTGCGAAGAGTTCTTAAACAGTGAAGTTCGAGGTGTACTGAGTTGAACCTCAAAACGATGAACAGCCACAGTCCGTCGCGTATTTCTGATATGTACCGCTTTTGGTGGAATCAAATGTGTCAAATCACTTGAACACTTTCCATGAAAGTATCTATTGAAGACAGATAAATCTCCAACCTTACTTTGATGTTCCAGACTATTAAGGTTACAAGACATGTTCGCATCTCCAATCAGGCGGATGGCTCTATTCTGAATGGAACCCAGTAGCTTCAGGACGGAGCTCCATACATAAGAGCAATACTGCAAAGAAGGTCTGATCTTGGCTTTATAAAGCATGAAAAGTTGCTGAGGTGTGTACAGTTTTCTGGTTCGGAACGGTGTTCCAAGCTTTTGCGAAGCAGCCTTTGCAATTCCAGTGACATGATTGTGCCAAGACTTATTGGTGTTAATTTTAACCCCCAACAAACTTATCGAAGCAGAAAGCGGTATTATCTGTCCTGACATTATTACATGCAGTTCGGAGACATTTATCTTTTTGTAGAAAACCCAATGCTTAGGTTTTTATGACATTGAATTGAATCTGGTTACTTTCACCTCAATTCGAAATCACTTCTAGATCATCATTAAGTATGCAACCTTTTGCTGCCGGTGAAAATGTGCATTCGCAGCTGATGTCCTGGAATCCAAATGATATGACCAGAAAAGTGTACTGGGAAAATCAGCATTGATGGTAAAAGTATTCGAGACGGCCACTTACAGGGAACGTTGTTTCAGAAAGCTGGAGAGCCATACACAACATATACCGTTTAACACTTTCCTTTGATCCCTTAAGTAGCATATATTAGGCATGAAAAGAATGAACAACATTGATCTTTTTCAATCCATGCCACCACCTCTTTCGAACAGAAAATATATTTTTGCTTTGTAACAGCTTTTGTAGAACCATCAGCCATAATTTGATTTGCAACGAGGGATGATGTATCTATAATATATAACTCTGAACCACAGCTAACGTAATTCGAAAACTCAACAGTAATGGATTGGGTTTATGGATAGTTAAAAGGTTCAACAAAGGTGTATAAAAGGTTATAGAAGGTGTATTATAAAAAACTTACGAAGGTCGTCGCTACATTTTGGGGAAATTCTTTGGCAATAAGTGCGAAACTGGCTGTCAGAAAAGCTGCATTTCCTAGCGCTTCTGTTATTCGTATCACGAAACTGAGGATGATGAAAGGATAATGTCCTTCAACTTTGTCGAGGAGCCTGAAACAAAACGGGTTGGGTATTGTGCCAGAAAATTACGAGAAATACTTACCCAAAAAGTATTGCGCATATCCCTGTTGTGTAGATTCCACCGTTGAACATAAGTTTTGGTCCCAATTTATTCAGGTGCTGTCCATATATAGGGCTTATCAAAAATACTACGAATTCGAATATACCGAAGACTAAACCATATTCGGTGGCTGAACATCCTTTTTTATGTGCCTGTGGATGAAAACCCATTCAGTTCAGATACTCAATACAAACAATCAATTTTTGAGTGCCTAATTTCCTTCCTTTCTTATCTCCCATTTTCATGATGATATCATCAGATCTCAGTAACCTCTTTTTATGTGCTTGGTAAAGATGCAGGTAAGAATTCCTTATCGATCCCTTCATTGAATTATTTTCAATGTAGTCAAAATATCACTGACGTGTTTGCAAAGGTTTAATTTGTTTTTACTTTTATCACTTTCTTCAAGTATTGACATAATCATCTCAGTTGCTGTTTGAGATTGAAATACAAAAAATATAATACAAAAATAGAGTGAATTAAAAACGAAGAAATCTTGAAAAATCATTTTAAAATCGTCAATTATTATAGTCTTAAACATATATACATACCAGGACATACTGAATTTAGGCAACACAAACTACAGAGGCAATGTTATTGTTGTATTAAGTTCGGTTTATGGAAAAAGTGTTAAATCACTTTGAGTCCAGCGCCTAGTGATATTTATTCAAGAAGTAATTATTATTTAACTCGAATAATGACATTTCAAAATTTTTAAAATACCGTATATGTACACACCACAGGCTTTTAAACGTTACTCACCCTGTAGCGATATTTTGAATTATTTTCGCCAGCCGATTGCAATTGAATCTCATTTGCCAGCGTAAGAAGCCTTGTTTATTTTACCCAATGGATTCAAATTTGCTTGATGATCACGTATTTATCGTTGTTTGGGGTTACTTTTTTGTTGGATGGACAGAGTTTAGTATAGCATAGCGATATCCCGTAAACAATTCGTTTTTCAGGTTTTTGGTTCAGGTTTATTTTAGCTCCAGCTTACTTGTAGGTTTACTTGTAGTCTATTACAAAGCTTGGCTCTGTAAGTCTATTACAAAGCTTGGCTTTGTAATAGACTATTAAGTGGACCCTTATTTTCTGCAACTCTTATCAATGGTGTCTTCATAAGAGGAGATGTCAGTGCCTACTTAGATGTCTGTAAAGATAGTCTAACAATGCATTTTTTAGATATGTGATGGACTCGGCCGATACTTCATGAAAATCCATAACGTATTCAAATACATTTTATTGTGAGATTTTCACTAAACTGTTTAATGAACATCTTACACAGGGTTTTTTGGGTACCTAATGCATTCTTTGTTCAGTCTAGCACCACCGATGAGTCAGACCTGTGCCAAGTTGGATCACGAATGTGTTGTATTCAGTTCTGGTTCCAAAAGGTTCTGGAATATCTGTTTCAAAACTTGAGATAAAAAATTGAATTTTATTTATTTTCAGTTATGAACGCGAAAAAATCAATAGAAGGCTCTATTCACAATGAATAAAAATGTCTTTCAGAAAAGTATAATGGTAATTTCCAATTTCTCAAAACAAGAAACACACTACTGCTAATATTAGTTATATGCGTGAGGCTAAATAATTTTTTTTTAGTTGAGACTACTTTGGAGAAAATTGTCTACAAGTTAAAATCAGGCATAATTAAGGTATGCTAGTTAACACAATTCTCCAATAAAATCAATATCAATTTTCGAAAGATTTGGTTATACCAAACATCACATATTCAAAGAAAACTCATACAAACTCATATAGCAGACACAATTATACGAATTTGGTATTCGAAGGGAACTAAAAATCGATTATTGACATCCAAAACATGAAAATTTAATTCATTTAGTTCACCAGTAACAATAATAATTAAATGTATAATTTTTCAAATGGAAATATTCATACAGTGTCATCTCCAAAGTATGCACCATATGGGAAACTTATTTATTAAGGGTTTTTCGACAAAATGTTATTCTTGATAAAAGTTTATGCATCCCCTAAAACTGAACATGCACCAACAAAATACAGTAAATCACACGTAATATACGAGGAGCCTTCAAAGTAAAGTACTCTTGTCTGTCGGGAAATTTTATTCAGCATTGAAAAATACATCTAGATTCGAAGTCATGGCCATCTGAGTGAAGNTTTATTAATTAAAAGTGGGAATTAGCTGTTCAAGCTTTTTCTTTTGTGTCAAGAATTTTTAATGGATATCTGCGTACAAAATTGGAAATTCTATGTAATGTAGTCTAAACCTAACTTTCAAGTGGAAATCTCGCAAGTGTCTTTTTGACGTTACAATGGATTTTCATTAAGTACCAAACAGTTCTATCATATTTTTTTATCTGAAATAAGCTAATTTCCATAAAAATTAAAGTTGGATATTTTCAATTGTTTATTTTTTCAATAAATAAGGATAAATAAATGTATTATGAAATAAATTTAATATCAATTGTCTAACTGATATCTACTATAATGATGAATGAAATTTTCAAAGTATAATTTTGAAAATAAGTGAATTGTGAGGTCCTACTTGTAATATAATGCAATACAATATGAGAATGCAATACAAACTTGGAGTGTGATTTTTTCAAGTGTGCAACAAATGCGCACAACCATAATTTAAGTACTGACAAAATACCTTGGAGGATTGTTTTTTTGGGGGGGGCATTCGATGTGAAATATGATCTTCTGGTGGTGAAGTGAATTTTATAGGCAGATAATTTAAAACGGAACAAAATGAACGCTTCATCAATTGTTTTTCATTAGCTATTTCAATCTTTGTTATATTCGTTAGCTGCCCGAGTACATATGTATGATAGTTTTGCTATTTTCTACGGATCGGGTCTAATGTAGTGAAACCACCTCAAAAAATAAATAAATAAAAACTAATAATTTCAAAGACTTTGTATCTTTAAATTCTTATTGACTTTTATGAGCATTTCGACAGAATTTCGCATCTAATCTTTTCCAAAACATCTTTTTATATTTTTTACCAAAATTGTTTTGTTTAGTTTTTGAGTGGAAATTAATAAATTTACCATAAAATTTATTTGTATAATAACTCAAAAAATACATCGAGTCAAATTTGACAAATCAAACTGACGAGTGATATGATGAACATACTTATGAACATACTTGATAATAGAAAAAAAATGTAGAAGNACCAAACCGTTATTTCAACACGTCTACACGTGTAGAGGTGTTCTACATCCTCCCGAGGAGTTGTCCTCCTAGGTCATCGTCCATCCTGTCCTTTCAAGGAAAGTGGACAGGTCTCTGGGAGACATTTTCTTTATATCGGCAGGTGTGGGCCAAGACTCACCAAACACCGGACAGTCGCATAGGACATGCCTGACAGTTTCATTTTCCTGTTCACACATCCTACATAGAGGTGTGTCCACTAGCCTCATATTGTGGAGGTGTGGCTAGTCCGAAATCCTACTGTTAAGCGTAGATTTTTCCTGGTCATCGCAAGATATTTTTTCGGCGCCAGCTTCCTAGGGTCGCCAGGATCCTGGCAAGATTGCATCCTTTGATTTCATCTCACCTCTTCAGGGATTGAGCATGGGATTGACTAGTTCCGCAATTGTCGAAGTCATCAGGCCGTAGGTGCCACTGGGCCTTAAAATTCTTCCTTGCCTAAAGAGTCGGCAATGCGATTACCTTTACTCCTGTCGTGCCCTTTGATCTACCTCAGGATATCGAGACTTTGGCTAAATCTTGGTGGCACTCTAGTACTTACTAGCCCTGAGGTAACACGTTGTCTCAAAGCTAATAGGCCAGATTGTTATGTTTTTACCAGAAATTCCTTTCCTGGTTATTAATTTTGTGGCGATTGAGATACCAGCCAGTTCTGTTTGAACCACGTTGATGTTGTGTTTTATTTGTATTTTGTAGGGTTTATTAAACACAAACTTGGGTTCAATTGCATCACTGGTTGCCTGCAGCAGAGGTTGCGCATTAAGCGCTTTTCGCCATAGGCCCAGCCTCAATTAACCCATTCCTACTTTGAGGTTTACACCAGCCGTGCGCAATGGTAACATGGCCATTAACGCAAACTCCTTGACGTACAGGTCTAGAGGGGTCATACCAGTAATTAATTCCATTGCCGCGGTTGGTGTTGTTCTCATGACTTCTGTGATGTTTAAACAAGCCAATCGCCATATGCTCTTTTTGCTCTACTCTGTTGGTGAGAGTTCCATGTTAGCTTCCGGTCGAGGATAGTATGGAGGTATTTCATCTCTTCCAAGAAGTTTAGTTTGCTTTCCAAAATTTCGGGAGGTTTTAAGCCCGATAAACTTTTTTACCTGGTGAAAATGAACATCTCAGTCTTCTTGGGATTGATCGACAGTGATCTTTCATCATGTTTCTGTTAATTTGCGCTCTATTGCACAATGTGTTCACAAATTTGCCAGTCTGCATGATAACTATGTCATCTGTATATGCAGTTGTGAAGACTCCATCATTGTTGAGGTGAATAATCAGGGTATCCAGAACTTTGTTCCAAAGAAGGGGTGATAAGACCCCTTCCTGTGGACATCCTCTCATGACCTGTCCNTTTCTCCGATTATAATTATTTTCATGTCTATTTTCTATTTATATGACTTTTCTGAAATTGAAAATATCAAAACTTTTTTGAAGTTCGTTTTTAACACGTACAAATATTTAAATTCAGGAGTGATTAGGAGTGAAAAAACTTTCTCGTTGCTTTTATTACTTTTCATGTTCTTTGATAATTGAGCGACTTGTTTATACAAATTATCATAATAATTTGGATTATTAGATGTTGTCAATCTAATTGGCGCCGACCTATTGCCACACGATATGCNTTGATCGACAGTGATCTTATCACTTTCTTCAAGTATTGACATAATCATCTCAGTTGCTGTTTGAGATTGAAATACAAAAAATATAATACAAAAGTAGAGTGTATTAAAAACGAAGAGATCTTGAAAAATTATTCTAAAATGGTCAATATTATAGGCTCATACATATATACATACCAGGACATACTGAATTTAGGCAACACAAACTACAGAGGCAATGTTATTGTTGTATTAAGTTCGGTTTATGGAAAAAGTGTTAAATCACTTTGAGTCCAGCGCCTAGTGATATTTATTCAAGAAGTAATTATTATTTAACTCGAATACTTCACTTGAAATGACAAGGTTTGTCATTTTCAAGGCTGGCAGTATAGAAGAGATTCCTATGTATTTGTGGAAAAGTTTACTTTGGAACTACGAAGTAATGATTAGAACAGGGATTTGAAAGAATAAAATGCAACACTAACGATGTGTGAAAATTTACTTGGATTTGAGGGACTCGAAGTGGTTGAAGGTTTTACTCCTTTTCGAACCTGAACTAACTTGGAAATAAGATTTTCTATACTCTGTCCATACAAGCAACAGAGTGCTCCAAAACATTATCATGCCTAGTGCACGTGATCTCACAAGCAAGGCTGCTTGTACAGAGTCGCACTAAGGAACGACCGAAATTTTATTTCTTTTTTTTAATAATATGCGGCTGGGTACAGGAAAATTGTTTGGTAGAGTGTAGGGACACAAATTACCATATTTTTGACATTTAAAATTTTTTAAAATACCGTATATGTACACAATACAGGCGTTAAAACGTAACTCACCCTGTAGCGATAATTTGAATTAATTTCGCCAACCGATTGTAATTGAATCTTATTTACCAGCGTAAGAAGCCTTGTTCATTTTACCTAATGGATTCAAATTTGCTTGATGATCACGCATTTATCATTGTTTGGGTTACTTTTTTTGTTGGATGGACAGAGTTTAGTATAGCATAGCGATATCCCGTACAATTCGTTTTTCAGGTTTTTGGTTCAGGTTTCTTCTAGCTCCAGCTTACTTGTAGGGTTACTTGTAGTCTATTACAAAGCTTGGCTTTGTGATAGACTATTAAGGGGACCCTTATTTTCTGCAACTCTTATCAATGATGTCTTCATAAGAGGAGATGTCAGTGCCTACTTAGATGTCTGTAAAGATAGTCTAACAATGCATTCTTTAGATATGTGATGGACTCGGCTGATACTTCATGAAAATCCATAACGTATTCAAAAACATTTTATTGGGAGATTTTCACTAAACTGTTTAATGAACATCTCACACAGTGTTTTTTGGTTCAGTCTAGCACCACCGATGAGTCAGACCTGTGCCAAGTTGGATCAGGAATGAGTTGTATTCAGGCATTAAAAGGTTCTGGATTATATGTTTCAAAACTTGAGATAAAAAATTGAATTTTATTTATTTTCACAGTTATGAACGCGAAAAAATCAATAGAAGGCGCTATTCACAATGAATAAAAATGTCTTTCAGATAAGTATAATGGTAATTTCTGATTTCTCAAAACAAGAAACAAACTACTTCTAATATTAGTTATATGCGTGAGGCTAAATACATTTTTTTAGTTCAGACTACTTTGGAGAAAATTGTCTACAAGTTAAAATAGGTATAATTAAAGTATGCTAGTTAACACAATACCAATAAAATCAATATCAATTTTCGAAAGATTTGGTTATACCAAACATCACATATTCAAAGAAAACTCATACAAACTCATATAGCAGACACAATTATACGAATTTGGTATTCGAAGGGAACTAAAAATCGATTATTGACATCTGAAACATGAAAATTTTATTCATTTAGTTCACCAGTAACAATAATAATCAAATGTATAATTTTTCAAATGGAAATATTCATACATATTGTGCATACATNATAGTGTTTAAACAAATTCTGCATCATGATTTTATAGTTATTGAAATCATAATGACTATTACTACCTGACGAATTAAACTCATTACCTAAACTATATACTTTTCTTGGAACAACTCATGAAACTGGAGAATAATGAATACAATTTTTACCTGTGACATTATTTTACCTACTCTTAAGATTTATCCTAATCACCAATATCCCCATTGCCAACTAAATTCAATGAAGGGAAACAATTCAAATCTATTTGATCATTAGGCATTCCTAAAGTTGAGCTTCGAACCTTTCTCCATTCCAAATGCAATACGTCATAATCGTGAATAAACTCGTGTCTCTCTGTCAAAAAATGGTTGGTCTTCGCATTCGAAAAACTACTTATATGCTTTTCCATTTTTTTAGAAAATGTTCTTCAGGTTTGGCCAATATAAAACTTTTGACAAGAACCACAGGTCAACTTCTAAATGTTGAGTATCATTCTTTGAAACTGGATAGACCTGATTCAGAGCTTGTTTTTGTTGTTTTGTAGAAATAATTGAGTCAATTATATCCACCTCGTATCTGTTGTTGATAGCAATATGTTTTATAAAAATCAGATCTCTTTGAAAATTATTGCTTTCTGAAAGTAGATATGGATGTATAGATGAATTGTATCTAATGATGTCCGTGTAAGATGGTTTGTAGAAAATTGCAAAAATCTTGTTTATTAATTAAAAGTGGGAATTAGCTGTTCAAGCTTTTTCTTTTGTGTCAAGAATTTTTAATGGATATCTGCGTACAAAATTGGAAATTCTATGTAATGTAGTCTAAACCTAACTTTCAAGTGGAAATCTCGCAAGTGTCTTTTTGACGTTACAATGGATTTTCATTAAGTACCAAACAGTTCTATCATATTTTTTTATCTGAAATAAGCTAATTTCCATAAAAATTAAAGTTGGATATTTTCAATTGTTTATTTTTTCAATAAATAAGGATAAATAAATGTATTATGAAATAAGATGGGAGAGTAAAAAGTAATAGTTATAAATGTACTATTACTACCGATAAAGCTACGATGGAAAAATTGTTTTATTAAAAAAATACTTACTTCTTGAGGATAGAAAGGCGCCTGAAGAGAAACACAAATTGCGTTACAGAAATCCGCGATACTTATAACAATCAGCGTCAACCACTGCCTTCTGGTGAATTTACTCATTATTACCAGCCGAACTTATCGGAGAATACGCGCGTACTAAAACTCAAGTGTTGCTTCAAGTTGAAGAAAAAAAATCACTCGATAACTTGCTTCCTATCTGGTCGATCTTCTCAGTTTTCGTGAAAGTACGATAACTCCATCAAAATCAAAAAGTTGATATAGAGATATTTCCGAACTACCATATTTAGAAAAATTATTCAGTGGCGGAATAAACAAAGTCGAGAAGAACGAATCTGTTTTTGCTTCATGTCACTAGCCTATACTTTTTGAAAATGACAAACGAATACAGAATCGAAAGAAGACGTTTGTGTTCTTATTGAACACTGGCGTACGCAGGGGGTGCCTTTTTGGAAAAATCTACGAAACATATATTTTTGGAAACTACTCTGGAAAAAATATTTTTCTACTCTAGGAAACCAAGACACGTTACGATTTGTGTTTTTCGAAACCATTTTTTACCTTCCAGATTGTTTATTGGTGTATACTTACTTGTTTATCAGATTGTGGAAGATATGAATACATTTAATATTGCATACTTAGTCTTTGTCCCAGTAGATAATTTTGAAATGAAATCTGTTTTTTTGAGATCAAAACACAAGCACTACAGGAAAATTCTAAAGGCGCTCTTAGAGTGGTGCCTGTGTGAAATGATTTATTTACATTGGATTTGAATCGATGGAGAATAAATCCATTTGTAAAAACGTTCTCAGGAAAACTATAATATTACTTTCTTGGAAACCTGCTGATAATATATAGATCTCTTTTAATTCTGTCACTGTCTGGAAGGTGAGTATGTAAAGCAGTTTTAGTTTTTTGTCATGGATTTCCATGAGTTTAGGGTTTCTAAAACATTTTGTGAAATCGTAGCAAAGACTACAGAGTTGTCTGAATATTACAGTAGTTTTTTCCAAACACCAAACCGTTATTTCAACACGTCTACACGTGTAGAGGTGTTCTACATCCTCCCGAGGAGTTGTCCTCCTAGGTCATCGTCCATCCTGTCCTTTCAAGGAAAGTGGACAGGTCTCTGGGAGACATTTTCTTTATATCGGCAGGTGTGGGCCAAGACTCACCAAACACCGGACAGTCGCATAGGACATGCCTGACAGTTTCATTTTCCTGTTCACACATCCAACATAGAGGTGTATCCACTAGCCCCACATTGTGGAGGTGTGGCCAGTCCGAAATCCTACTGTTAAGCGTAGATTTTTCCTGGTCATCGCAAGATATTTTTTCGGCGCCAGCTTCCTAGGGTCGCCAGGATCCTGGCAAGATTGCATCCTTTGATTTCATCCCACCTCTTCAGGGATTGAGCATGGGATTGACTAGTTCCGCAATTGCCGAAGTCATTAGGCCGTAGGTGCCACTGGGCCCTAAAATTCTTCCTTGCCTAAATAGTCGGCAATGCGATTACCTTTACTCCCGTCGTGCCCTTTGATCCACCTCAGGATAATGTTGTTATCTATCGAAACTTTGGCTAAATCTTGGTGGCACTCTAGTACTAGCCCTGAGGTAACACGTTGTCTGTTCAAAGCTAATAGGACAGATTGTTATGTTTTTGCCAGAAATTCCTTTCCTGATTATTTATTTTGTGGCGATTGAGATACCAGCCAGTTATCTTTGAACCACGCTGATGTTCTGTTTTATTTGTATTTTGTAGGGTTTATTAAACACAAACTTGGGTTCAATTGCATCACTGGTTGCCTGCAGCAGAGGTTGCGCATTAAGCGCAGCCTCAATTAACCCATTCCTACTTTGAGGTTTACACCAGCCGTGCGCAATGGTAACATGGCCATTAACGCAAACTCCTTGACGTACAGGTCTAGAGGGGTCATACCAGTAATTAATTCTATTGCCGCGGTTGGTGTTGTTTTCATGACTCCTGTGATGTTTAAACAAGCCAATCTCCTGATTTGGTATAATTTTTGGATGGCCGTTTCTTGTAGAACTTTCGGTCCCCATGCAATGGCTACGTACGTTAACATAGGTCTTACTATTGCAGTGTAGATCCAGGTGACCACACGTGGTGATATATCCCAAACGCGTCCCACTGTCCTCCGACATTGCTCATATGCTCTTTTTGCTCTACTCTGTTGGTGAGAGTTCCATGTTAGCTTCCGGTCGAGGATAGTATGGAGGTATTTCACCTCTTCCGAAAAGTTTAGTTTGCTTTCCAAAATTTCGGGAGGTTTTAAGCCCGATAAACATTTTTACCTGGTAAAAATGAACATCTGTCTTCTTGCGATTGATCGACAGTGATCTTTCATCATGTTTCTGTTAATTTGAGCCCATCCTGCGCTCTATTGCACAATGTGTTCACAAATTTGCCAGTCTGCATGATAACTATGTCATCTGTATATGCAGTTGTGAAGACTCCATCATTGTTGAGGTGAATAATCAGGGTATCCAGAACTATGTTCCAAAGAAGGGGTGATAAGACCCCTTCCTGTGGACATCCTCTCATGACCTGTCCACTCACTGTGATGTCTACTTTATTGATACTTATTGCTCTATTAGAGAGTATCTTGAGTATCCATTCTCCTACTACCAGAGGTTTCCAAACAGTGTATCACAAGTACAGAGTTGTCTCTTGAACAAAAACTGTTCATACATTTTATTCGTTATGTTTCAGACAGAATGCGGGGTCAAAACTAGTTTATTTGGTAAATGGCTATTTTCTGTCTCCTCCGATTCCTATCAGTGTTACACTGGGCGTATTTTGGAATAGTAACGCTTTTTCGTCTGTCAAGGTTTTGCTTCCATGCACCCCATTTCGCAATTTCAGTTGTTGCTTCAAACATTTGGAGGCTTGTCTCTTGAGTTCAAAATTGATGACTGAGCAGAAAAGCATCATGGCCAATGCGTTTGCTACGTAATATTTCCGTTTATGTCATACACCGCTTGGTATTGAAGTTGATTATATCTAGCATCAATAAGAAACTACATCCTGATCCTCCTGTTCAATTCAGCTCCGCGTGCTACACGATTTGAAAGATTTCAATGGTTTCTTGATGAAGAATAATTTATGAAGAACTGAAATTACTGTTTTTTCAGTATTGATTACAAGAATTAGACCTTTACAGATGAATAAAAGTAATTGCTTTCTAGAGTTTGTGAGAAGTGAACATTTTAGAAAATGCTCAATTTCAACAACTTGGAATCTCCTGACAGGATCTTAGATATTATCAAACAAGTATTTATTCTTCCAGCTGCCACAACGATCAGTGAAGCATTACCAGAACTGAAGATAGAACTACCTCAGTTTGAACATTTTGGTGTTTGAGAAACTCTTGGTTAGATAGTAGCTCATTCATTTACTATCGTATACAAATCCAAATATAAAAAAGCGAGTGAACTTAATACCACACGACTGAAGTGAAACTTCATTAGCTCCTCCTATATGTACATCAGTAATTACTGTGGTTGATTGTAAGACCAAGAGGCCAAGACAATAGGCTTAGGGTGTGAGAAATAAGATACATATGTTTTCGAATGAAAATTAGAAAGATATCCAGAGAAAACTGCATTGATTATTGTTTCATGTCTTGGGTCAGGTTCATTTCGGTTATTATTCATTTGTAGTTCTGATTCATCTTGTAGAAAGTTCACCAAGACTTGTCCATCTTCGGACGTCAGATTAACATTGAAATCTCGTGCTGAAATTAGTGGCAACGTATGATAGTTTTTTCGTAATTCTTCAGAGCCTACTCGACAATAAAAGTGCACTCGTACCCCCCCTCTCTTGCCCATAAGTAATATACGAAACGTAAGTCTCTCTCTCTATCTTCACTAACTTATACGAAGTTTCGTTCGCCTCGCTCGATTACACTTTTCGTAACGCTCTCGTCATGCATCCACCAGCCAAGCCAAGCGGCGTAAAAACATTTTACTTCAATAATATGCAAAGTAGATTAATGCCATTTTTTGTTATAGTCGATTCATTTGGTGAATGTTTTCATCTCATCTGAATTTTGTACAATTTGACCCCCATTCAACCTTTGGCTTGCCACGTTTATGCATGTGGACAATAAGTAGGGTCCGTAGGTCAAAGATTATCTCTCTTTGCAGAAGAGATAGTGACTTATTGTGAATTTAATGATATTATTGAATGTTTGAATCGGTAAGATTTGGAGATAGGTCTCTTTGTATAAAGTTTGATGTTTATTTAATTACTATTAGGCCCAACAAATGTTGGTAGGTAGGGTAGGTTGGTCAAGTAGGCAGGTATAGGATAAAAGTTATTTTTGCATTTGCGCCAACAGACTCGATTGATACATTGGAAATTTATGTAATATAAAGCTTTTTTTTGTTTTTGGTTATGCTATAGGATTCCGAAAGATTCCGAAATTACTTGTTTATTATCATTAATGTGATATCCATATGTAAATATTATCGAGTGGGTTTTCGTGAGCTAACTATTTATCCTCTGTGTTGAATTATTTTTTTCTGTGAAATTATCGACATACTGAAAATAACTGCGTCTTTTCACCATGGAAGTATTCAATTGAAAATAACGCAATATCCCGCCGCGTCTGTCTGTCTATCTGTAAGTACATATTTTCACTAAAACAACCACTTTTCCCAATCACAACGCGAGTGTCGCCAACCATATTGGCGTCTTCAGGAGATGAAATTTTCAACTTCATGAAGTTTTCAACGCCAGAAGTTCCAGTTTTATATTTTATTAATGGGGAAAGGAATTTTGCTATATACATTTTTGCTAATGGCAGCCCCACAGACACATAAATGGCTTCGAAAGGTCTACAATGTTACAGAATATTGAAGACAGAATCTGCTTGAGATCTGGGAACACTATAGGTAGCAGCCTCACGAAAACCAGGCCACCAAACGCGGACTGCGATTCCAAGAATTGCATTTACCGGATACCCTGTGAGTGCGGAAAATCCTATATCTGTGAAAGTAAGAGGCCATTGACAGTTCGCATTTTCGAGCACACAAAGCGAGGCAAACCAGCAAATCAGGAATAGCAGAGCATATTTGGACCCATCAAAATAACATCGAGTGGCCCCAAGCTGAGATCATACACATGAAGAAGCCGCATACATATTGTCCAACAATGTATTCAGTCAAGCTAGCGTAGAGATACGCAACACATGAAAACTCATAATCGAGCGAATATTGCTGAGGAGTGTGGTGTGATAAGTGCTACCTAGGACCTTCCGAATTGTTTTCTACTAATTTTATTTTCAAGTTTTAGTTTTTAATTTTTATCCACCCTAATACCAAACAGTTCTCGGCACGTTTTAA